CCTTCACCGAAAGTACAATAGAAAAAAAAGGTGGGGATTATCCTGGTGGGTCTGACCTAATCAAAGGGGCCCATTAAGAGAAGGTTTAGGGGTCAGAGATGGAAGAAGTCAGAGAGATTAAGACAAGTAGAGACCCTTTCCTGTCAGCCTTGAAGAAGTAAACTCCCACGTCATGGAGAGGGCCTTAGGGCAGGGAATGGTGGGTTCCTTCTAGAATCTGAGGGTGTCAGCCCTACAATCACAAGGAACTGAATTCTGCCGATAACCAGTGGGCTTGGAAGTGGACTCAAGCCTCAGATGAACTGCAGCCCCGCAGACACCTTGTTTTCAGCCTGGCAAGACCCTTGGCACAATGAACCAAGCTACACCACTCTCCAGCCTCCTGACCCAAGGAACCTGTGGAATGATAAATGATGTGATTTTAAGTGCCTACGTGTGTCATGATTTGTTACGCAGCATAGAAAACTAACAGATCATCCTAGGAACTGCAGAGAGAAGCTGTACCTCAAGCATATACTTTGCCCATTACCCAGGGTTTCAGTTATATGTATTTTTGGGTGTCTTTTCGGCCACCATTCAATTTTCTGATTGTAACTGCACTTTTTTTAAAATATTGTATTATTGTACTTTAGATGAAGGTTTACAGAACAACCAGTTTCTCATTAAACAGTAACTGCGCGTTTTTAAAGAGCAAGAAGCATTTGTTTTGACTTTTCAATCTTTACATGTTCTAATATTGAACTTGATACAAAAACTCTTGTTTATCTTGACAGACCTAGCAAAAAATGCCCAAGTATGCATCCAAAGAGCCTTCCCAAGACCTGAGCCACTCTCTGAATGGCCCTAAAATTTACTTTCAAAGAATACCTTCTTTTGGGACTAGTGAATCACATGTGAGCTAGAAAATAAATTTAAAAATTAAGAGATTCTGATGAAGGCTACTCAGTTGTTGTTGTTGTCAGCTGTTGAGTCGATTCGGACTCATGGCAACCCCATGTGTGCAGAGTAGAGCTGTGCTCCATAAGGTTTTCAAGGCTGTAATCTTTTGGAAGCAGATTGCCAGGCCTTACTTCTGAGGCTTCTCTGAGTGTGTCTGAACCACCAACCTTTCGGTTAGTAGTTGAGCGCTCAATTATTTGTGCCACCCAGCGACTCCTTGCTACTCAGTTCCACCTGAGAATTCCAGCACCTCCCTAAGCCATGTTTTCCTTCCTCTTGGTTCCACACTCTGGAGAAGAAGGGTCCTGGGAAAGGGAAGCCTGTGCTCTGTCCTCTGCATCTCAGCCTGGTCACAGATTCAGAAGTCAAGACGGGAAGAACCTTGTCAAAGTAACTGGTGCTTTTGTTTTATTTGAGTTCATTACATGCTGTTGGCAAAGTGTCTGCAACGGTAAGGAGACTACATTCAGTTTAAATACTCTGCCACCTGATAATCCTAGAAAGGGTGGAGTCCTGACCCTGGCTTCCCCTCAAAGGGCTGGCTGGATGGTACCACCCACAGCTCCAGGCGCCTCCAGCCTCCTCTGCGCCTCCCCTTCTCCCCAAACCTCAACACTAAGCAACTCCTAGTGTGGTTAAACTAACTCGGGTTTTCTGTCTACACTGTGGGCTTCCTCAAGGCCTGACAGGCACAGAGCAGACACACCTGCGGTGTGTGCCACAATTATTGCACCCTGCTGTGAGGTCTTCTCCGCGCTCTCTCTCCCTCGCTCTCTCTCTCTCCCCCTCGCTCTCTCTCTCTCCCTCGCTCGCTCTCTCCCTCGCTCTCTCTCTCTCTCCCTCGCTCTCTCTCCTTCGCTGTCTCTTTCTCCCTCGCTTTCTCCCTCACTGTCTCTCTTTCTCCCTCGCTCTCTTTCTCCCTCGCTGTCTCTCTTTCTCCCTCGCTCTCTCTCTCTCTCCCTCGCTCTCTTTCTCCCTTGCTCTCTCTCTCCCTCTCTCTCTCCCTCCCTCTCTCTTTCCCCCTCCTC